CTTTCTTTTTTGAAAAAAAATATATAAACCTCTTATATCTACTTTATGATATCTACAGACCCATATATTTCAGCCAGAGTTATTGTCTACTATGATATTACTCAAATCTTTAAACTAACTATTGCAAACTTTAAAAAAAATTTCAAGAAATCATATCTCAACCAAGCAAACCAATATTTAATCAAAAAGTTCAAGAACTCTGTTCTTAATATATCATACACAGATTTTATAGCCACAAATTCTAATATTTAACAACAACAATATCATCATCATCATCATCATCAACAACAACAATAGCAATAACAATTGATCAGTTCTACTACAAAATTTAAAACTTCTAAAATTAACAAACAACAACAACAACACTGTTCTAATAAATCTACTACAAAATTTACAATTTCTAATATTGATGAAAGCCTCTTTCTAATTTTTTTTTTAATATTAAGGTGAGATCATGTCTTTGGTTTTTATTAACATATAGCTTCAACAATTATAATTATATATATATATATATTAACTTTATGAACTACAGAGACTTAGACTAATTTATCTATGACGTAAACCTACTAGAGTGGTCTATGCCCCACACATGTATTATCTAGCTTTGTGCTTCCTAACTAACTATTTTAGTAACTACATATTTTTTTCATATATTATATGACTAGTTATAACTTTTAAGTTGATATGTTAGATATTCGCTCCTAATGAGCTTCAAAATTAGTGTACCTGCAAACATGATCTACTGCAAATCTCCTAACAGATCCTATTAGTGCAACTGTAAATGATACAGATGATCTTTCTATAGCCTCGTATTTTAAGCCAGAAATCTGCTGCCTAGTTAGATTTACTACATAACAAAGTGGTATTATATTACAAGATATACTAATTGGCAAGAACCCTTCCACTTATCTGCTCAGGTACTACTAATCCATATCTCAACATTCTTTTTCTGATATAGTAGTATCAACTACTTTATTTGTATTTCTTCATATGGTGTATTATCAGAACTATATTTTGTAGCATCAAAGCGAACCTGGGTTCTACTTCTAGCTATAGACTTTGTGTCATGTTACTAGAAGGTGTACTCTAATTTACATTAACTTCTAACTTGAACTCTCATCTATTGGTTGGTGTTGTGTTATTGTTAGTATTGTATTATTGTTAGTATATTCTGGCTTTTTTTGTCATTAACTTCCATATAAGTATAATCAAAGCTCTGGCTTGGTGCCTTTAAATGTACTAGATTAGCTAGCTTATCTCTATGAAATTACCTTCTTTAGTTAGTTGTTTTATAGTACTAGAGGTGCTTCTAATTTAGATAAGGCCAATCCTATACTACAGCCCTTTTACATATCTACTACTTCTCTCGATATTCTAGTTTTAATAGTGTTATATCACCCTTTCAAGCAAGTACCCAGTGCCAATTCAAATTAGAACTGATATGCATGATCTGTTGATCATTCTTCCAAGCAAGTATCCTACAAGTTAGGTGCAAAGATATTGATACTACCTAAAGTAGAGGCGAAAGAATATTGGTGTTGCCTTCTAGTCACCTAACCAGAGAACTTACATATGCAATCTTCTACAATCTAGACCTTCTGTAAGAGTTATATATATTGGTACCATTTTATGATCAGAGCTTCTTCTGGGAATTTCTATTTCAAACCTTGTACTTGCATTTGGATTTTTTACAGGACTCTGTATCTGAAATAGTGCTCTTGCTAATTAGGCTTACAGAGGATTAAAAATTTTAGATTTTATATTTCTAGGTAGATTTGAACTGTCAACCTTGTCTGTGGGGGTTTGAAAACTTAACTAATAAGTTACATAGCCCAAAACTCTGCTTCTTTCTAAGTTAAAACTTATTTTATATCTTATATCTTAATACTTTAACTATATATCTTTATATTTTCTATCATCATCCACTAAATATAATTTAGTATTTTTTATTATATCTCATAACTTTATATTATTAAATATACAAATCTTATAGTTTAGCCTTACTTTTAAATTCATTTAACTAAATACTCTATTTATTCTACATTTATTTTTTTCTTAAAAAAATCTAGATGAGTCTTTGACCACTCTAGTAGGTTTAGGTCACAGATAAAATAGTCTAAGCTTTTATTCTTGCATGTAGTTTTTACTTTTTATATTTTATATATTAAGGTTAGCAACTCTTTGTAGCTACTATAATAAAAACTATCAATAAAGATATAAGCAGGGCCTCATCTTAATACTAAAAAAAATATACTCCCTATCAAAGTATAAGACTATCTGCTAACTGAAATCTTGTTTAATACCCCACTCTTTGTACTTCATGAAATTTTAACAAAAAGTGGTGATTTCAGCATATCTTCACCAAAGAATCAATAATAATGATCACTACTAAAAAAATATATATGCAAGTGTACATGAATGTTTTGGAATGAATAATATACAATTAGTGATTCCTCAAAAAGTTCTAGTATTTATAGGTTTTTCCAATTAATCCAGCTGATAACTTTGTCTAAAAAATTAAATAACTGTAATATATTGTAGAAGATTTGATAGAATTGCAGTAAAAATTTCGAACTTGAATCTCTATTCAAGAACTGATAATTTGATAAAGTTTTTATATCTTGTATATAGATATAAATACTAGTATAGATTTTAAACTAGTTATTTAGTAGTACTATATAATTTTTATAATCTGGCACAGGCTTAATAGTGCCATCTTTGTTTTTTTCTTTTATTTTGTTATTTTCTTTGTTTTGTTTTTAGTTTTATTTGTTTTGGTTGAATTGAACTTCGCTATTATGTTTATTCTCTATTTGTTTTATATTACCATTTGAATTTGTATTTGTATTTTATTACTAAAAAAAACCAATATTGATGCAACGAGCTTGTAGTCACCAACCAAAAACTAAATAAAATAAAGTTTCTAGTAAGTTAGAGACCTGGAAGAAGACCAATGACTACTGAAGCAGGCTATATTAGGCAAAAGCTTGGTAAGCTTTCTGTTTGAATAGGATTAGTTGCACTATAGATAGAAATTGTATAATTTTTTAAATAGTATATAATCTCAAATAAACAGAGGCAGGGTAGCCAAATTAAAAAAAAATTTCTTTAATTGTTATAGATTTTTACTTCTATTTAGCATCTAATTTATATTAAAAGATACAATTTTTTTTACTATTTCTTAATAATATGAGCTTTTTTAATTTATTATAAATCAATCTGATAATAAACCAGAAACAAAATATTTCTTTAATGATTTTGTAATAATCTTATTATTATTGTTAGAATGTAATACTAGGAGAAGGACCATATATTATACAAAAATTACATAAGCAAGCCATGATTTTTTTAACTATCTTAGGTAGTGAAAGTTTTGAATATAAAATTCTGAAAATATGATCCTTAATATGAAAAATGTATTTATACATTCTGTCACACATCGATGTTATGTCAATGATATCTATGTACAAATAAATTTTTTTAATTAATTAAAAAATAAAGATAAAAATTAAAAAATATACAATAACTTTTATTTTCATGTGATACAAAAATCACTCAGAAATTATTGAACGGATTGGTGGAATCTTTATAAAGACTTGTCTTGTAATACAACTTTATATTTATAAATAGCAACTTCAACTATCTTTTGCAGGATAAAACAATACTAGAATCTTTAATTGCATTTAAAAATTAATAAATAAAAAAATAATAATAAAAAGTAATAAAATAAAATAATAATAAATCAGTAATAAATAAAAAACTATTCACCACATTTTGTTTCGACCAGCATGCTCCATTGCCAGTGCGCGGCACAAATTATTTTATAAAAATTTCATCAGGACAAACTTGCACCCAAGTTATTTTTAATTGGTTCAATTATATGAAGTTCTTTAGTCGCACCAACGTAAAGAATTTTAAAATTATTAGTTACCCAATATTTAAATTTTGGGTTGTGTAAATCGTTAGGATTTTTAAGTATAGTTAAACATTGATTATATTTATTCTGATCCATTAAATAGCGATTGTTTTTCCTTTGATGAATAAAAGTTTCTAATATTCGATCAAAGGTTTCATGCACCAGAAAGTTGTATCGTTCCATTTTTAAGAAAAAATAAGTTGTATTTAAAATTTGGATTCGATGGCGTTATTTATTTTCTTTCTTTTTTTGCATTAATTAATTTAACATACGTAATACGTACATTTGTAGTATAGTATAATGAAATTTAATAATCCTGAGTTCTAAATTTTTATTAGATTTCAGGGGAGTGACTGATCATTGTGTGACAAATCATAAATAATTATATAAATAAATTAGTTGATACTTATTTGTCACACAAATGATTGGTTATATTCTGATTCATAAAGATTGAATTGATCGAAATCATGAAATGAGGCAGAACATATACAGCATATGGTAATTATATACATATAAATTGCTCATAAAAATGATACTACGTATAGTGTTTTTTTTATTACAAACTTTGAAGGTCCATAAACTTACGTTAATTTATATAAAGAATATTAATACTAGGTAAAATTTTACTATAAATTCACATAGTTATAAATATACATAAAAAAAGTAATATATTATATAACTTCTGATTATAAATTTATATAGTTATGAATTTATGTAGCAAATTATATTTTTTTATTATAAATTTATGTAAATATTTGCTATCTAAGAATACATAATTTCTTACGCAAATGTTTATAAATTTATATAGTTATTGACATAGTAACTATTGGTATGTCCAAAGCGAGGTATAATATGTACTTCATGTTGTAATAAATTTAGCGGAATTATATTAAATTCTGCTAGTAATTTAATATAAGGATTATCATATTTGTAATGTTGTCTAGGATCCTGATACTTGAAATCATACCATTGTACTAACACTAAAGAATATGTTGTATTTTTATAATTCAATCGTAATAGTAATAGTACCTATAAAAGAAATTTTAATTTATAAATTAATTTAAAATAAAAAAATATATAGTGATTAGGAAGTACTTACTTTTCCAAAGTATAATTTTTTTTTATTATTACGATTAATTGATTCTACATTATTCATTTCAATAGCAACATTAGCATAGTGCGATCTTTGATAAAAATTTTTTGTAGCATAAATTCTTTGTCTATTAAGTTTAACCGATTTATATAATTCAATCCAAATTAGTAATTTATTCAGATTATCTTCAGTTCTATCAATTATTTTAAACCATGTATTTAAACAATTTTTTAAATTAGCCATTCCTAATAATGTAAATTCATGTTCATCAGAATTTAACATTTTACTTTGAGTATTAGCATAATCATTAAGCCAGAAAGAATAAATCAATGTACTAAATTGTTCATTGTTATTTTGTGTTTGATTATATAAAGTATTGCTTAATGATGCTAGTATCGTTCGTTGTTTTATCTATAAAGTATAGTTAGTTAATTATTAAAATAGTATTAATAAAATAAATTACAAATCTTTATTTTATTTAATTACTTACAGTTCCTATTATTTGCATATTTATATCACGTTTATTACTAGATCGGTAAGGTTTTTTAATATAATCTTTGTGAAGATTTTCATATGTTTCAGAGGTCCATCCATTCATATTTCCAAATTCTTTAATTGTTTCTGTTATATGATATAGCCAAGAATGAAGTTTTATATGCTTAAGACCCGAAGGTA